CCCAAGGCTGTGGGTGCATAGACTGTCTGCCCCAGCAGAGCTTTAACTGAGCCCTCAGGCAGAGCAGCTGGGGCCCTGGGCCACATGGAGGGCCACATCAGTGGGCCAAGAGGCTGACCTCTACCTACATTAGTTCCTTCTCCCAGTAGACCCCAGTGTGAGGGCACAGGGAACCTGGGCTGCACTGTGAGCTCACCCATCGTCCTTGGGATGAGTGTTCACCCTTCTCCCCTCCCCCCCAACACACACACATATACTCTGAAGAGGCCATGTGAGGTCACGTCCAGGGAGGAGCTTTGCTGCAGAGTCCCGAACATGTTCCCGCCGTATCAATGACAGTCAGTGATGTCTCGGAGGCGGACTATTGATCTGGTGGCTAACCACGTGCCAGATCTCTCTTGATTGGACCCTCATGTGGGTCTGACAGAAAATCAAAATCTCAGGCATTTGAGCCATCTCTGCAGCGCGACCTGACGTCCTTAAGGAAATTGTTTCGTGACTCGCGTAGTGCCCAGCTGTGCAGCTGGCTGTCCCCAAACAGGAAACCACCTTTTTCTTTCTTACCTGTCTCTCTCTGACTTGTTTTATCTCGTGGTTGATGGGACCCTGTCAGGTAGGAAGTACTCAGAGGTGGCGGGGGTGGGGGGGTGAGTGCAGACCCTCACAGATACCCAGGACCCACCCTGTGACTCAGTATGTGTGTGTGATTGAACCAAGTCTGGTGGCCTTCCCATATAAAAATGCTAAAAAGCAAACACTGCTGAAACCTAACCCCACAGCACAGTATTCCCTGGAAGAAATAAACATGATCCCAGTGGAAACTGGGGTGTGGGAACACTCTGGCAAAAATATAGGTGAAGTTTCCGGGTCCCTCAGCTCATTACAACCCGAGACCCCAGTTTAGCATTTCTGACATGAGACAGACAGTTGCAGAAGGTGTGGATGGGGTTAGTTAGATGGCTGGCCAGAGGCCATGGTGACACTCTGCTGCTACACTTGAACTTGAACTAGCTGTTTCCCTTGCAGGAGAGAGCATAGAAACACCTTGAATGGATGGATAACATTAAGAACTGCAGATAAGTTCTGATCTTGTTTTTAACCTGCACATTTCCAGGGAATCAAACCCAGCACAGTGTTATCAGCAAAATGCAATCACGACCAGGTTGTAGAGATGAAACAACTATCAGAACGTGCAGTACATATTTATGGTTCTCTTTGAAGGGCTAATTTCACTGAAGTCAGCTGGTAAGAAAGTGCTCCTTAGCAACTAGGTATCAGGCCATGGTTGACTCTCGACAAAACCCAAACTGATATATGGCTGGCAATATTGCTGATAACAAGTTTCAGAGACTTCCAGTGCTGTTCAATGATGCTCTAGACCATAAGGTCTGTTTGAACCACAGTCAGCAGTTCAAATTCACCAGCTGCTCCTTGGAAACCCTAGACAGGATCGCTATGAGTCGGAACCAACTCGACGGCACTTAAGAACCGCAACAAATGGGGAAAAAAGGGAAATAGATGGTGCAAACAGTTAACGTGTTCAGTTGCTCTCCAGTTGACAGTCTGGTGATCTATACAAAAATCAAATATTGAAAACTGGATGGTGCCTAGCTACCATCACTAAATACTTTGATCAATGATTCTGTAAAAGAATCCTAATCAAAAGGGGGGAAATGCAGAACAGAATGTCAAATTCTTGGGGACACCAGACTTTCTGGAACCAGGGAAGCTAAATGACTCCCTGAAACTTTTACCCTGAGGTAATCTTTAAACCTAAATCTTAATGGAATCCTGGGAGGGTTCTGTGGGTTAACGCGCTGCACTGCAAAGTCGGTTTGAACTTCAAGATTGACAGTTCAAGCTCATCAGCTGCTTCTCGGAAACCCTATACAGGGTCACCATGGGTTGGAACTGACTCAACAGCCCTTAACAACAACAACAAACCTTAAACCAAAAATATTCCCTGAAGTCTTCTTAAAACCAAACAGTAGTTTAGCTTAACTAGAAAAGAATATCTGCTTTGAGCATTTTGTTCTTTGAAGAATTATCAATATGGGATCAGGAATCTTGGTGTGGTGATATAGGATAAGCTCTGGACTGCTAAACACAGGTCTGTGGTTCAAACCCACCATCCACTCCTTAGAAATTCTGCACAGGGTCGCTATGAGTTGAAACCAACTCAACATCACCTAACAACAACATATATGGGATCAAGAGGAGCACAGTGGCTCTGTAGGATAAGCACTGGACTGGGGACCATAAGTCCAGTGGTTAAAACCTACTAGTCGCTCCATGGGAGAAAGATGAGGCTTTCTGCTCCTGCAAAGATCTACAGCCTCAGAAATCTTATACAGGGTCACTAAACGTTGAAACGGATTCAACGGTACTCAACAACGTCAGCATATGGAATCAAACTGACAACTTGAGGGATTAGATAGAGACCATGAGTTTATGTTCACAGAGAAGGAACAATTTGGAAAAGAAGGTGGAAATGGGTGTACAACTTGAAGAATATCATCAGTGTCACTGAATTGTATGTGTGGAAACTGTTGATGTCTGTTCTACCAACAACAGCAAAAATAAAGTGTGAAAAGGAGAAGAAATCCCCATAGAGCCCAGTTCTACTCTGACACAAAGGGGTCTGCCGTCAGTCAGAGTCCACTTGCCAACAACTGTTTATTTTTGTGGTTTTCCACATGGGATGTAATTCTAAACTAAATAAAAGAGCCACATATTGTATTAAAAATGGGACCCGATTGCTTGATACACCCGAGTTAGTGGGTTAATGTGTTGGACTGCAAAGTCAGTTTGAACCACAAGATCGGTGGTTCAAGATCACCAGCTGCTCTTCAGGAACTCTATACAGGGTCGCTATGGGTCAGAACCGATTCAATGGCACTTCACAGCAACAAGTGGCACATAGCACCCCAACAAACCAAACCTGCTGCCATGAAGTCAACTTTGACCCACAGCGATCCTGTACAGGACAGAGTCATACTACTCCTGAGGGTTTCTGAGATTGTCAATCTTTACAGGAGCAGAAAGCCTCATCTTTGTCCTGCAGAGAGGCTGGGTGGGTTTGAACTGCCGGTCTATTGGTTAGCAGTCCAGTGCTTATCCTGCAGGCCATCAGGGTTCCTAAAGTAACAGTGGAGTACTATTTTGGGAGGATGTTGGTGATGCCTATGTCCCTAGCCCTGTGCTGAGTCCTCCTTGCTCCTAGCCTGAGATGTCACTCTGCCAATCAAACCCACAGCTGGGACTCAATTCTAACTCACAACCACCTACAGGGCAGAGTAGATTTCCGAGACTGGAAACGTTTACGGGAGCAGACTGCCTCATCTTTCTCCAGAGGAGTGACTGGTGGGTTTGAACTGTCGACGTTTCGGTTAGCAGCCCAATGTTTAACCCACCACGCAAACAGGGCTTCTGTATGCCAGCCATGGTGCCTTGCATTTGCCACAACCCCTGAGAAATTACCTCAGTAGACCAGCCCACCCCCCATGGGGGATGCTGGGCAAGTCCCCACCTGACCTCCCCCTAGGTCGAGGACCCCCGTGAGCCCCTGGGAGGGACTCTCTCCCCTGACTTCTCACCCAGTACTCTCTAAACCTTAGCAGGCGGTTTCCATAGCTCATTAAATCAGACCGAAGGTCTGGCATCTTACAAAGCAGATTCTTTACAACTGTGATAAAGGTCCTGTTGCTTAAATGTCACCTAGCAAAACCTCCGCTCCTCCTCCACCCCCCAAATTCTCAGACTTGCAAGGGCAGTGAGAAGTTTTGAGTTCACTTAAGGAGCACCTAACCTGGAACATTTGGAAGGTTCTAGAAACAGCAATGGTAGCTCACGAGGGGCAGTTTGATGGGGGTGCTCAGAGCCCAGCTAGCCTGAGCTCAAATCCTCCCTCTGCTGCCCCCCAAACCAGGGATCAGGGAGTAGCTTCTAGGCCTCTCAGTGTTTCAGTTTCCTTGTCTGTACATAGGGCTGTTCCTTACCTCCACCTCAGAAAGTGATAAAGATTTAAAGAGTTAACTGAAGCAAAGCATTTAGAACAATGAATGTCCTGCACCTGTTTATTCAGTGCCTACTGTGTGCCAGGTGCTGCAAGTACAGCAATGCAAGACTATAGCAAAAAAACCTTGTGTCTGTGAAGTTTGTATTTGGGGATTTGGAGGCATTCAGAAGGTAACCGATGAAGTTATGAGCCCATCATTGGACCTGATGCTGCCAATAAGTCACATGCTCTCTTGAGTTTATGGCATCTTCTTCGTGTGATCCTTGGGCTGTGGGGCTGACCCCATATCTCTGGAGTGTCTTGCCCCCCAGCATCCGTCAGCACAGAGTGTGCAGCCAGCAATTCTGGGAGTCCAGGAGGGGCCAGGGCCAGCCTCGTCCTCGACCCCCACCTGCCTGTTAGGGAGAGGACGCTGTGTTTTGCAGCAGCATTGCACTGGGTCAAAGTTTAGTCAATCAGAAGTTGTGTAAGGACTTACTACGTTGGTCAGTCCAGGGGCCAGAGGTCAACAGCATTCCTGAACAACTCTCTGTTCAATGATTACCTCTCTAGGGTTTATTGTGGTGAGCAGATCGAAAGCATAGCTGACCATGGTCAGGATCCAAAGATCTGCCCTCTGACGTAAGAGGCGAGCCTCCCTGGCCACAGCCGAGGGGCAGGGCCTTCTTCCTCTAAGATATTTAAAGCTAAGAGGTCCTTCTCCCGGACACAGCCTCCCACTGGGAACACACCCTCACCAGTGGGACGAACCTGGAAGGAACCGGAGAAAAGTAAGTCAAGCTTTTAAAAATTTTCGTTTCTCACAATCGCAAAGCCGTCACACTCATTTTTCTTCCTGCAAGCGTGGTCTGGTGCTGTGCCGTGGAACCCAAACAAAGCATGTCAAGTGTGTGCGGAGGTGTCTGTGGTTGTTTTGCTCAGGAAACTGTTTTCTGTTCCAGGCGATCTCTGCGTTCGAGCCTGTAAGCATACTTCTGCAGAAATGCCTCCTCAGCTGCCAAACGGTATGGATTTCTCTGACAAAGTCGTGCAGGGCACCCTGGACAGCCTGCCTAAGGCAGTGAGGGAGTTCGTGGAGAACAACACCAAGCTATGCCAGCCAGACCACATCCACATCTGCGATGGCTCTGAAGAGGAGAACCGGAAGCTGCTGGACCACATGGAGGAGACGGGTGTGATCAAGAAACTCAGAAAGTATGACAACTGGTAAGTGTGAGCTCCCACAGACCACGGCCTTCCCCACTACCCCCTCAGTGTTGGGAGAGTGTTGGGAGAGAGACTGCAGACCTGGTGGTAGCCTCTTGAATGAGTTCGTGCAATGGTCAGCCTTACGTAGACTTGACTTGCATGGCATCTGCAGAGCAGCCCAAATCTAACATGAGACGGCACGTGCAAAAGCTCTGCAAAAAATTAAAAAATAGACCTATGTCAGCGAAAAAGAGGAAGACCCCCAACGAGATGAGTTGGCACTATGGGAATTAATGGGCTCAAGCAGAACAATGATTGTGAGGTTGGCAGTGTTTCATTCACTGTGAGTTGGAACTAACTCAACGACACTTCACAACTACAACAACCACAAGTTAAAGGGCACGGAATTTATCAGGGAAGGGTTAACGAGATGGAAACACAGCCTTCAGAAATATAGACCCAGATGCAGGAGATGCTGAGAAATAATGATTCCACATTTTGATATTTTTGTTTAATAAATGTTTTTGTGATTTTGGAGCAATGCTTTTTTTTTTTTTTACTTACCCTTATTTCACGCTCTTAATGCCCAGTTTTAAACTAATTGCCAATTAAATTTTTCAATGGAAAAAAAAATAGACCTCTCCTGGAAAGTCTACAGATAGCTTTCATTGCTGATCATGCCTTGAGTGTGGGAATAAACTCAGGCAGGAAGAGCAATGAGGTGAAACACAAGTTCTTTACAAACTTGATCACAGATCAGGATGAAAGAAAGGCAGTCTGTGACCTTAAAGTCTAGCTCCTGGTCTAGTAAATGTCCACCGGGCTGTACCCTGAGCATCTTCAATGTGCGCAGCCTACTGCTCATCCTGGTGAAGAAGACAAACACCATTTAGACTGGCCCGTTTCTAAATTCTCCTCTATAGAGGGAGTCCATGTCCAGGAGCAACATCGATGAGCGTGTCTTCCCTCTTTGTTCCTAACCTGTGTGCTTGTTGATGTTTGCAGCTGGCTGGCTCTCACTGACCCCAGGGATGTGGCCCGGATTGAAAGCAAGACAGTCATCATCACCCCAGAAGAAAGAGACACAGTGCCAATCCCCAAAACTGGCCTGAGCCAGCTGGGCCGCTGGATGTCAGAGCAGGACTTTGAGAAAGCATTCAACGCCAGGTTTCCAGGGTGTATGAAAGGTGAACAAGACATTTCCTTAATCGGGCAATATGTTAGACATAATTGTTTCTATCTTAAGTGGCAATTCTGGTCACCTACTTCCAAGACATCAACCACTAACAACCGTATGGCTCACAGTTCTACTCTGACACCCATGGATCTCCATGAGTAGGAATTAACTGATGGCAATTGGTCACAATTCTAAACAGCAATGGACACTCTCTCAGGCTCAGTGTTTGGTGGGATTTCCATGGTTAAGATTAGCAATGTATTCAAATGTAACTCTATTCTGGCTTTACTGATGATCTCTAACCGTATGAATGCAAGATCTTAGGGGAGACCCATTGTGTGTGTGTAAACTCTGTAAGTTTTGCATGCTGTTCAGTGGACTCCTCTGTGTCTGGGGAGCAGGGGTAGATGGACAGCATGTGATATTGTAAGTGGAAGATCACAAGAATGGGTCCACCTTCTCACCTGTCCCCACTGTTCTCCCAGGTCGTACAATGTATGTTATTCCATTCAGCATGGGGCCTCTGGGCTCGCCTCTGTCCAAGATTGGCATTGAATTGACGGACTCACCTTACGTGGTGACCAGTATGCGGATCATGACTCGAATGGGCACCCCAGTCCTGGAGGCGCTGGGTGAAGGGGATTTTGTTAAGTGTCTGCATTCTGTTGGGTGCCCTTTGCCACTGAAACGTAAGCATACTGTTTCAAAATCTAAAGTTAAGATGATCAAGCAAAGTTGCTCTTTAGCTTGGGCTCTGGGGACCCAGGGACATGACAATTGATGGAGGTGCGTGTTCTCATTCCAGGGCCTTTGGTCAACAACTGGGCCTGCAATCCGGAACTGACTCTCATCGCCCACCTGCCGGACCGTAGAGAAATCATTTCCTTCGGGAGTGGCTATGGCGGGAACTCTCTCCTTGGGAAGAAGTGCTTTGCTCTGAGGATGGCCAGCAGGCTGGCCAAGGAGGAAGGCTGGCTGGCAGAACACATGCTGGTAAGGGCACAGAGGTTCACAACATGTTCACACCAATGACATGGCTATCCACTTGTGCACCCTCTTCGTGGGGGACCCCAAAGACAATGGGACTAATAGAGCCCCTTTGTAATGAATCACTTTGTTTCTGTTACTTGGCATTGGTATTGGTTTTCTTTCTGTTTCTGCACATCATTGGGAGATTTTGTTATTAAATACATAATAATCCATTCATACAATAGAATTTTATGTAATCAATCACAAGACTGAAGCAGATCCATGCACATACAGGCGAGGAAAGAGGTCCACAATCTATCATAAAGATTTAAAAAAAAAAAAAAAAAATCATACATAGTTGTTTAGGCTGGTGAAAAAGTAGTTTGGAAACCTACATTTTGGGGACTTCCAGGCCCATGAGGTTGTCATGAGTCGGAATAGACTCATCAGCAACTGGTTTGGGTTTCAGGTTGGGTTTGTATTCGGCACATTCCTACACTCGAGTCACAGCTGCTGGGGAAGAAATGGACAATGATCTTATTGAGAATTGTATCTCTAATAGATCCTGGGCATCACCAACCCTGAGGGCGAGAAGAAGTATTTGGCAGCAGCCTTTCCCAGTGCCTGCGGGAAGACCAACCTGGCTATGATGAATCCCACACTCCCAGGCTGGAAAGTGGAGTGTGTGGGTGACGATATTGCCTGGATGAAATTTGATGAGCAAGGTAATGCTTTTGACGCAGCTACAAAGGTGTTCTGGTGTGGCACTGTGGGTTAATGCACCAGACTGTAAAGCTGTTTGAACTGCAAGGTCAGCGGTTCAAGCTCACTCAACTGCTCCTTGGGAACCCTATACAGGGTCACTATGTGTGGGAACTAACTCGACGGCACTTAACAACAACAACAACAAAGGGGTCCTGGTGTGGCACTAGACTGCTAGCTGCAAGTTTGGTGGTTCAAACCCACCAGCTGCTCCTCAGAAACCCTATATATGGTTGCTGTGAGTTGGAACTGACTCAACAGAACTTAACAACAAGCATTGCCATTGGTAAACGAGCCCCAGATAGCACAGTGGTTAAGAGCTCAGCTGGAGACTGAAAGGTCACTGCTTTGAACCCAACAACCACTTCTACCTCTATAAAGATTGCAGCCTTAGACATGCTAAGGTGCATGTCCCATCAGGAATCTGAGTAGAATCCACGCAGCGGCAATGGGTTTTTACCCTTGATGAAAATGGGACCTGAGTTAATTTTTGGTCTTCCAAACATGCCAACTTCTTGTTTGGATTTTCAATTGAATTATTTCATGTTGGGCCTAGAAATGCATATTCTGTTAGCATTCTTTCATTTAACATCACATCCGGATTGAAATGGGACCATATGTTACTGTTTGTTTACATGTATAAGGAACTCTGGTAGCGTAGTGGCTACGAATCGGGCTGCGAATCGCAAGGTCAGCAGTTTAAAATGACCAGCTGCTCTGTGGGAGAAAGATGAGGCTTTCTGCTCACGTAAAGATTTACAGCCTTGGAAACGCTGTTCATGGTTGCTATGGGTCAGAACCAACTCTACGGCAACAACTTGTTCAAAACTTAACAAGAACATAAATTTGTTAAAATAGTATTGGTGGAAAACTAATGAGGAAAAAGAGTTGTAAAAGCCTTGTCATTTAATACAATGCTTTGATGGAAACAGATTAATGTATACTCTAGGAAGGAAACAAACAGGAGTTGAGAGTTTGGTACACACATTAGCCCAGCCAGGTATGAATATAAATGTTATGTTTCCCTGAGAACTAACTTCTCCTTGTCTGGTCTAAATGTTTCCAGGTAACTTAAGGGCAATCAACCCAGAAAATGGCTTTTTCGGTGTCGCTCCTGGCACCTCTGTGAAGACGAACCCCAATGCCATCAAGACCATCCAGAAGAACACGATCTTCACCAACGTGGCTGAGACTAGCGACGGGGGCGTCTACTGGGAAGGCATCGATGAGCCCCTGGCGTCTGGTGTCCGGCTTACTTCATGGAAGAACAAGGACTGGAGCCTGGAGGATGGTGAGCCCCCTTGGAGGACACGGTGCTCCCAGCTGTGGTGAGAGTCAGCTCTGGGGCCAGGTGCTGAGCAGCCTATCATTCTTGTGTTGTAGGGGAACCCTGTGCACACCCTAACTCACGGTTCTGCACCCCTGCCGGCCAGTGCCCCATCATCGACCCTGCCTGGGAGTCTCCAGAAGGCGTGCCTATCTCAGGCATCATCTTCGGGGGCCGCAGACCTGCTGGTGAGGTTGGGCGCGTGGGAGTGTTGGTTACATGTCACCACAGTGAAACCTGCTTACCTGTGACCTTGTTAAAACCACTTGTTGTCGACTTGATTGCAACTCACGTGTGTCAGAGATCTGTGCTCCATAGATGGTTCACAACAGCTGATTTTTCAAAAGTAGATCTCCAGGGCTTTCTTTCCAGGCACTTCAGGGGGAACGCGAAACCCAGTTGGTAGCGGATCATGTTAGCCATCGGCACCACTTCTGTGCCTCCATGACCTAGTTATAAAACCAAACCAAAACCACTATCATTGGATCAACCTTGTACAGGGTTTCTGAGGCTGTAAATCTTTACCAGAACAGAAAGTCTCATCTTTCTCCCATGGAACAGCTGGTGGGTTTGAACTGTCAACCTTAGGGATTGTAGTCCAATGCTTATTCCGCCACTCCACCAGGGCTCTCATGACCTCATGAGATGCTGCCAAAGAGTTTCCTCTCCAAAATCCCAGGCTCACTGGCAAACTCAAATGTACAACCAACCCTCTTGGCCACTGCAGACCTTTCTGGATTCTAACGTAGCTTTAAGGAGCACTGGTGGCGTAGTGGTTGTGAATCTGGCTGCTAACCTCAGGGTCAGCAGTTCGAAACTACCAGCTGCTCCGCGGGAGAAAGATGAGGCTTTCTGCTCCCGTAAAGATTTACAGCCTTGGAAACCCAGTACAGGGTCGCTATGAGTCGGAGCCGACTCCACGGCACATTAACAACAACAATAACAATGTAGCTTTATCCAATTTTATTATCCCAGTGTGGCCTCAAAGATGTGATTTCAATTAAGCAATTTCTGCTCTTGAGCTATGTGAATGCAAAATTAGCTGAATTGGAAGGATGCTATTGTGCTGTGCCCTTCCAACTTGTAAGGTGACACTGTCAACCCCAGAGTCTTTAGAAACATTTCTTTATTTTCCTGCTGAAGGTGTCCCTCTAGTGTACGAAGCTTTCAACTGGAGGCATGGAGTATTTGTAGGGGCAGCCATGAGATCGGAGGCCACAGCGGCTGCTGAACACAAAGGTAAATCGAATTCAAGACTTAAAAATGGAAATGGAGGGTGATTCGTGTGTGTGTGTGTGTGTGTGTGTGTGTGTGTGTGTGTAGAGAGAGAGAGGAGAAGCAAGACAGTAAAGTATGCTGATCTCAGTGATAAACAGTACCCAGTCTTGTCTTTTGAGAGCGCCATTTACCAACGGCGTCCCCTCTCTGTTTACTAGGCAAAGTCATCATGCACGATCCCTTTGCCATGAGGCCCTTCTTTGGCTACAATTTCGGCAAATACCTGGCCCACTGGCTCAGCATGGCCCAGCATCCAGCTGCCAAGCTGCCCAAGATCTTCCACGTCAACTGGTTCCGGAAGGACAAGGAGGGCAGATTCCTCTGGCCAGGTTTTGGGGAGAACTCCAGGGTCCTAGAGTGGATGTTCAACCGGATCAATGGGAGAGACTGTGCCAAGTCCACGCCCATCGGGTACATCCCTACCGCAGATGCCTTGAACCTGAAAGGCCTGGGTGAAATCGACATGAAGGAGCTCTTTGGCATCTCCAAGGAGTTCTGGGAGAAGGAGGTGGAAGACATCCAGAAGTATCTGGAGGAGCAAGTCAACGCTGATCTCCCCTCTGATATTGAGAGAGAGGTCCTAGCCCTGAAGCAAAGAGTCAGCCAGATGTAATCAAGACCTGGGAGCTTTGGCCTTCACAGTCATCCTCTTCCCCATCCTGAAGATGCATAGAAACAAGAGATGAAGGGATCTTCCGGAGTGGACCCCACCCACAACACGATTACAACCACACTGATGAGTAGAGCCCAAAGGCACACTTAAATTCTTCAGATAAGAACCATAGAGTTCAGGCTAGTAGCCAAAGAGATTGGAGGGGAAATCATAACACCTGTTCAGCATTCATGATCCAAAGTAGTTCTGTTTGGCCTTGAGGGTACTCAGGCACTTAGATCTTCCTTGTTTTTTGCTTGAGCGATCTCAGCTAGAATGCACAAAAAAACATACTTGAGTTGTATATATGTGTGTGTGTTTGCGTGTGGACATTTGTGTGTGTCTGTATGTTATCTAAAATATATTTAATATCTTTGGAAAAAAATCTTGGGAAAGATTACCTCCTAGTTGTTGCTAGAAATGAAATGTTGCTTTATGACTAATACATGTGTTTAAATTATTTTTATATACCATTGTTCCGTACTTTTACATAATTTCAAATTCCTCCCTTAACCACTTCTGGTAAAAATTACAAAATAAACTTTTATAGAAAAGATGGATTTGCTTTGCTTTGTTTTGTTTTCTTATGTGAACTGACAAGAAGGAAATAGGTCTCTGTGATGGCAGTGTATGGTTCAAGTTCCCCGCTACCCTTATCACCACCTCCAGAAAAGAAAGGATGTTTAAGATCATGCGTGGAGAGGGGGGAGTTGAAGGGACAGAGGGGGGAGTTGAAGGGACAGAGGTTCTGGCTAAGACAGGAACACAGAGTATGAGAATAGAGGCCACAGGAGTCCTACGTAGAGTTTTCTGAATTAACTAAGCCACCTACCATTCACCAGGGAGCACGATGTCTGCAGAATAAACACTGGACTGTGAACCACAAGGTCCATGGTTCAAGCCCACCAGTCACTCTATGGGAGAAACATGGGGCTTTCTGCTCAGAAACCCTATACAGGGCTGCTATAGTTGAAATCGACTCCATGGCACTTACCAACAACAACTCCTTGCCATCCTTGAAAAACGGTGTGGTTGTTTTTAGATGTCATTGCGTTTGACCCCAATTTATGGCGACCTCATGTACAAGTACTGCCTGGTTCTGTGCCATCCGCACCATCCGTTGTGGATCCAACCACTGTGATCAGAAGGGTTTTCATTGGCTGATTTCAGAAGTAGATGTCCATGCCTTTCTTCGTAGTGTTAGTCTGGAAGCTTTGCTCAAACTTGTTCAGTATCATACCAGGATCGGACCTAGGGTGTCCCATCTGGACGCAAGGATTCTGACAGTAAACCACCACTGCCCCCTTTAACATGGTACATATTTAAAATGGGTGGGGACTTGCATGACAGGAGTGGGGTGAATTTAATAGTCACTTTTTGACAAACATTTGGGTTTGGGGGCTCTGCCACCTACAAGAATTACATTGTAAATAGTTTCACAGATTTGCTAATTATCACTTTTCTAGGCAAAACTTGGCCATCTGTAGGGAAAGGAAAAAAAAAAAAGCGTTTTTCAGAAGAAAAGGCCAGCGGTATCTACCATTGCACAAGCATTAATTGAACACCTTCTGTTTACAGAGCGCCATGCCCAACACAGACAGGATGTGAGTTGGGTTGGCCCCAGCAAGACCTCAAGCACTCACCTGGTATTCTTTGCTCCCACTGTTTATGAGGGGTTCCAGAACTAGCCAAACAAACCATAAACTTTTTATAGTGTGCATTCATTTAGTAAATACTTCTGCCCTCAGGTACGCCCTTCCTTTCTGGGCTCAGGTTATTAACTGGGTCTTACCCTTCACCACTCCGGTTTGGGCAGGATGGTCAATCTCCTAATCTTCTATGCTCCTTACAATGGCTTCCCCTGGAAAAGCATCCTGATTGGACAGATGGGGAAACAGAAGCCAGCAGTACCCTTGGAACCAGAAATGGCTGTTGGAGCTCTCTTCCTCCTAAAGTCGCTGGATGTCTGAGCCAACACTGCAAATGGATTGTCACCTGCTAATGCCAGAACTTGATGCTCAGTGGTGAAGTGCTTGTCTGCTAACCAAAAGGTTGGTAGTTTAAACTCATCCAGGGCTTCAAGGCAGGAAGACCTACAGATCTGCTCCCATACATCTGATTATCTAACCATGCCATCCCAGTGTGGCACTGTAGGATAAAGCACTGTACCACAAGGCCAGTTTAAACCACAAAGTTAGCAGTTAAAACCTACCAGCCGCTCCTCAGAAACCCTATACAGGGTTGCTATGACATGGAATTGACTTGACGGCATTTAATAACGCAGGAAACCCTAGAGGGCAGTTGGGCTCTTTCACATGAGGTGGCCACAAGTTGAAATCCATCAACGGCACTTGACAACAGCAAGCCCAGAACTATAGATAGGAAGAGAGCCATCTAATGGGATCCAATTCTCCCTGCAACAGTAATTTAAATTGGAGGCTTTTGAATGTGCTCTCTGAACCACAAAATGGGCTCTGACACAGGTGCCTAGTGTCTGCAAGGAAAACAGAAGGTGTTTGACCTGCGGCTGGGACAGGTCTAAGCCCAGACCACCTGGTCATCATGTCTCCACACGCCCGTGGCTTCCAAGGTCACTCCTTGGACCCCCATAGGGAGGCTCCTTGTGGACCCAGTGACTTCAGTGGTTGTCTCTCACTTTACAGCGGCTCTCTCATGATCATCCTCAAGCTCCTGCACACGTTCACCCATCTGTCCAACAGACTCAGGCAGGACCTGCAAGCCTAGGGGACAGCCTAGAGGAGGTGGCTTAAACAGAATGAGTGTTTGCCACCAGTCCCGTCCCTCTGGGAGGTGGGGCTGGAGTTGGCCTGAGAGAGGAACCTCTTACTTCCAGGTCGTTTCTCCACCATGGCCCCATATGACTCAAAACCAACACCAGACTGACGTTTTCTATTGGGATCCAACGTATGAGCTTCCCCCTGGCCTCCAACTGTTCCCAGAGTTGGGCTGGAGTGTGGGTTAAAGTCCACAACAAATATTCACCCAGGACAACAAACCTGTCCTCTCCCCAGAATCCAGGGGAGCGTGGTAAGTAGGCTGGGCTGGGGAAGGGCAGGGTGGGCAGGATGGGGCACACTTGGGACCCTCTCTGCTGGGGTCCACTCTGACCCCAGAGTCCAGGCCTATTTACTCATCCCTCAACATCCCACACAACATGTCCCTTCCGGTGAGCAGGACACTGGCCTCTAAACAGCAGAGCAGGAACCTGGCAGCCCCTCAACTGGCTGTGTTCCAAGGGCCCCAGGCCAATACAGTGACCTCCCTTGGTCTCTGCTGTCAGCAGTTGCGGTAACAGAGCTCTAGGTGAAATTATTTGTGGGAAAGAGCTGGCCGGCTTCCTTTTCCAGAGGTAAGGGACAGTACACTCTGGCAACCTGGGTCAAGTCCCATCTCTGTCTCCTGTACTGCAGTAACACACCCTGCTGGGTCCAACGAGGATGAAACAAAATCACCTCACTCAGCATGGACATGGATGGAGTCAGGAGGGTCTCAATTTGAGTCACAGACTGACAACTTAATTAATTTTTGTTGTTGCTGTCATTGAGAATACACAAGCAGAACAGACACCAGCTCTACAATTTTTACACATGTAGCTCAGTGACATTGATATTGTGATCAAAGTTGTGAAACCATGCTCACCCCTTTGTCCAAAGAACCCCACCCTCATCACCATTGTGAAGTATGAGGATTCCAGAACACTTAATTGTGCTCATGAGGAACCTGGACCTGGACCAAGAGGCATTTGTTCGAACAGAACATGGAAACACTGAATGGTTTAAAATTAAGAAAGGTGTGAGACAAGGTTGTATTCTTTCCCCATACTTATTTAACATGTATGCTGAGTAAATAATCCGAGAAGCTGGGTTCTATGAAGAAAATGTGGCCTCAGGATTGGAGGAAGAGTCATTAACAACCTGCGATGTGCAGCTGATACAACCTTGCTTGCTGAAAGTAAAGAGGACCTAAAATATGTACTGATGAAGCTCAAAG